TTTGGTCTGATTCTGAGAAATTCAGAAAGTATTTAAATTTAGTGTACTCATTCACTTACTTTTGAAAGCAAAGCATTGTGGAAAAGGACGTGGCAAAACTATGTAGGAGTATATTCCCCGCAAAGAAAGTATATCAGCATCACTAGATGCAGTACATCCATCATTCAAAGTAAAGTTAAACGTTAGTTCAACAAAACCTCCATTAGATTTGTCAAAGAGACAAGCAAATAGTAACAGCAGTAAAGTCGACATTATTATGATTGAAATAAATTATTAATAGATTAGCGTTATAAACTTAAAGTCTTAGATCTATTATTAAACGTGAACGGCCTACAAAATGGTGGCATTAGAGTAAAAAGGATTCCTAAAAGGATTCCCTAAAACATGATAAACACAGTGCTTGTCATTCTAGTACTGGTATCGTTGGGTAGTCCTCAGTCTAATGTATCTCCAATAGACTTCAACACACCTCAATCCTGGGGGGTTGGTAAAACCGGGCTCGGGAGGGCTCGGGCACGGGAAATGGTGGGGTAAAACCGGGCTGCCCCGGACTGGGGCTTCACCTATTTTCATGGAATAAGGACTGATATGGAGCTAGTAAGGACATAGAACAAACTACTGAGTAACTGTGCAATTAAATGATTATATTCTTTTATTGTTAAAATTTAGGGAAGCCATGAATCCCCCTTGACTAATGCTGGGAACAAGGCCGCTCTACTCCCATGATCTTTCTTCTAAGTCCACTTTAACTCTCTCATTTTTATTTCTAATTTTATTTGCTGTCATTGTTATCTTAATTCTCATTTTCCTTGATTGTTGATTTATTTTTATTTTTTTATATTTATTACTATTATTTTTACTGTTGATCATTATTCATTTCCACTTTTCTTTTTGTTTTCCAGGGGCCATAGCAGTTCAGTCTTGCTGGGATGTGTACTGTATTATCACTGAAACTTACTCAATTTGGTTTATTGTAAATAAATTATATTACAAAACCGAACCAGAAACTATCAGGAAATTAGATTTTACAGGTGAACAATATTATTATTTTAAAAATGGTAAGAACTACCACTTTTGTCTTGTATATTATTTAAGATTACATGCTATAAATATTTGTTCTTCATGTAGATTTTCTTTCCATCATAATAGCAGTATGGACTATGACTGTAGCAGTGAAATGCTCACAGGAATGAATGATGCAACCTCTCAAAATAAATCTCTT